AAATTGTATAAGTTTCTTATTATAATAATTATTAAATCTCTTCATATTAATATTGTTGAGTTGCATATATATCAGTTATTTATTATTATTATAGTTTCAACATTGCTCAGAGTCACTGTAGTACTGTGTCTATACTTATGTTCAGAGATTCTCTCATATTATTGTTAAATATAATTATATTATTTATTAAATATGTAATATCTGTGAAGTCTGAAGAAGTGTAATTGTATGAATATCTCATATATCTGAGTGTCAGAACTCTCAGATCTTTCACTGACATTCTCTTATAAGATCTTATTACAGAGTCAGAGTGACTGATAAGCAAGCTTCTATCTGAGAACTCAGTGTTCACTTAACTGTGTTTCTCTTTCTTATGTGTTATTACATGTTCAGATATCTCTCAATGAATAATTATTTCTAATGAGAAGATAATACATAGATAATCATTTCTAATAAGAAGATGATAAATATTTTTCTAGTATAAGAGATCTACACTGAATAGATCAGTATAATATTATAGATCTTATTTAATAAAGAGAAAAACATTAGACAAGAAAAAGAAAGAGAAAGTGTGAGAATCAGTAATTGAAGTGAATATTTATATACATATGTAATGATGTATGCAGTGAAGCTTCAGAGCAGAAGAATCTATACACATTTATAATGACTGAGAATTGATGATTGAGAATGACAGAGAATTGAAGTGTACGCATTTGTGATGACTGAGAATCAGCAATTGAGAATGACTGTGAATCGGAGTGTATGTGTTCAAGAATGAAGCAGTTGAAATCTGTGGAGTGTAATGAAATAGTCTATATAATTGATCAGACGCAGCCCGCCACACTGATTATTTATATCTCAAAATAAAAGACTTTGTTAATAATTATATTAATATAGAGTTAATTCTCAAATTCAATAGAAATCTAGTGTTGCTGTTCTCAATCTCTTACAGAATCTATTGAATATTGAGATATTAAAACTAGATTTAATATATCTCACTGTGCAGGGATCAAAGGCTCAGTCAGATCTTGAAGTATACTGATTTTATAGTTGTTATGTCTGCTGATTATGTATTAAATACAGTTGTCAAGGTATCTTTTTGTACTTTTCTGCCGGGGATGGGCCAGATCGGAAGGGGCGGTACAAGGGTGAGACTTGATATAAAGACAGGGTTTTTCGCGGAGGATGCACTTCAGATGTGTCTGTTGATTATGTGCTTGATACTATTGCCGAGGTATCTTTTTGTATTTTTCTGCCAGACGTGGGCCAGATTGAGAAGGGTGGTACATGGGTGAGACTTGGCGTTGATGTTTTGGAACATCAAAGATAGACAGGGTTTTCATGGAAGTTGCTTCTCAGATATCTCCACAATTACAGATTGAGGATCTTCCAAAATCAAGAAGATTGGTGCATATGGCTAGGTCTCTTCACCTTACAATTTGTATGGCAATTTGGCCCAGGGTTGTGGTGTGATAGGGGTGAACAGGGGATAATCCCACACAGGAGTTTCGAACAACATCTGGTTCATGTTTGACTGAATAACTCCACCACCACACGGGGTATGCAGTCGGCGATGGGGTCAAAATGCTTGTATGATTGAGGGCTTTTCAATGGATCTATCGGCGGGTTCTTATTCGAAAAATCGAGCGAGTTCGTGGTGGAGCGCTGCTTGATATAAAACTCAATGAAAACAGAGCTGTAGACACTTATTCAATCAAAACTGAACTAAGTTGATAATTACAGTATTATCAAGATGAAACACTCAGCTACACTATAATAAGTGATTGAATTGAAATATCAGATACAGTGAGCAGATCTTCAATTCAAATTATATAATAAAGTTATTACTATAACAATCACTGATTATAATATTAATATCACACTATATACAAAGCACTGATAAGTGATAATAAATGAAATTAATACATATAACTTATTAATATTCAAAGACTTTCTCACTTAATAATTCATATATAATCTGAAGACTCATTTACAAATATTCATTCAAATCTATGTTAAGAATCTATATTAAGAAATTTCAAAGACATCTATTTCTAAGATTAATCTTGATGATCTCATTGATGATCTTGTCTGCTACAAGACAGTTGTCAGATTAAATAATAATAAAAAGAGACTATCAGCAAAAGAAGCTAAACAGAAAAAGAAAAAGAATAAGAATAATAATGATAAAGCAGAATTCACTGCAGCAGACAAGCTCAAGAAACTGCAGTCTACAGATAATTAAAGAGAAAACACTCTCTACATCTGACAGAAAGGCATATTTAACTCAGATCTTAAATGTAAATATTACAGTCACTGAGACCACACTGAAACAGTCTGCTAGTATAAGAACTGAAAGACTTAATTACAGAAATGATAAAATATCAATCATTTCAATATTAAACACTATACTGAAAAGAATGTAATATTCTTTATCAATGAAAAGAACTTTAACTTTACATTAACTATAAAAGCTCTATCTGTTACTATAATCTGTAGAGACTCTTTATAATATTCAGATACTGCAGCCTTCTATATCATATTATCTGACAAGAGTGTATTCAAGTATATACACACTTTCATTAATGAGAAAGATCTCAGTTCTGCAGCAGAAATTAATAATAAGTTAATTACTTCTACAGATATGAGAGAAGCTTGTACTTATATTAATGAAATAAAACTTAATCTTCTTAATATCTGCTATATACAGAGAGTATTCTGCAATCTCTTAAGCTTCAGTTAACTTATTAATAAAGAATTTGAATTTGAACTTCTTTATAATAAGAACTGTTAAATAATTAAATTTGAAATAATTAATAAGAATAATTAAAGATTCTATACAGTGATAATCAATCACTGCATCTATCTCATTCATAGCATCTGAGAGGCTACTTTTACTGCAGTTGCAAAGACTATCTTAAATTACATATCTCTCTCTGTAATATATGCCATATTAAATATCATCACATTTATAATACTGCCACTACAGGTGTTATTAAAATCATACAGATAGATATTATCAGTATGACTGTGAACACTCTACAGTTAGAAAAGCTCTGAAGACATCTTAATAAATACAGAGTCTTATCAGCCTGCTACTTCTATAGTACTTTATTCATTCATTTATTTTACTGTTTTCTTTATTTTTTATTCTTCAACTCTTATTAGTTCTCCGCGAAATCTTTGATAGAAGATACTACTATTTTTGTATGTAATATTCTTTCTCCAGTTATAGAATCACTCTGCTGAGTCGTAAATATCTACTTAGTGAAGCAGCAGTTAAGAAGAGTGTCAGATTCCCTCTACAGGCTGACTGCTTCCGTCTAAGTGAGGTGTTCACCAATCACTTGATGAATGTCTATCACACATAAAAGGCCGCATAATAGATAACTGTGTCATGCTTACTCACTCTCTCTAGTGAGTGTGTCACAGTATATGAAAAAACATACTATATAGAAAATATTATCAATATCTTCATTCTTTATCTTTAAATAATTATTATTAATTATAATCATGTCTAAATCTTCTAATTATACTGAGAAGCAGTTGCAAAGAGCTGTTGATATATATAAAAGTAATTTAAAATTAAAAATCACATCTCTGTTATAATAATTCAAAGTCTTATATATTATCTTATATGAGAGAATCAATGAGAAGAAATCAAGAACTATGAGAATTTCACTAAATAGAGTACTAAATGACAGTCAGAAAGAGATAATTAAAATATGAATTTATCAGTTAAATATTAATTTTTATCTGTTTATCATTGAGTATATCAAAGCTACTATAAACTGTATATTAAGACAGTATTATATAGATTCGGAGACTGCATCTCTTACAGTAAGCAAGATATAAGTATATCAATTCATCAAACATCTGTCAGATTATAAACAGATCAAGTAAAAGCTCATGAATTTAAGACAGATATCTTATGAGAATATAAGCTTTATTATCAACTAATTTGATTAATATAAAGCTGTTTTCAATCAGTATTATTTTTTTCACTGTGATATCTACAACTTTAATAAGATTGAATTTCAAGAAGAAGAAGAATGTGAATAGTGAATTATAATTATCTTTAGAGATATAAATTCTGTTTTACAGTTATTATACTTCTGCAGATTAATAACAGTGATGAAGTGTATTAGTGTAGATGATATAGTATTGAATTCATTAATTATAATAAAATTAAAGATTTATCTAGAGAATTAATATACATACTTTAACTTATCTGATAATTACATTATTATCACATTCAAGTCTGACTTTATAAATAATGAGATTGAATTTGAATGAATCAAGCAGTTTAATAAAATGATAAAAAAGTGTTAAATGAGCAGTTATTAACTGCTATTAATAAATAATCATGATTCTCATCTTATAGAAGAATTCATTCAAAACTGTAATCTTCATAAGATTATTCTGTTTAGATTCTTATCTTATATAAGTCATATTCTATAACCTCTTGATAATGTACCTTCTCAGCAGTATAAGTATTATTATACAAAGATAGTGAATGAGATTATCTACTACAGATATAAGTAGTATAATAATAGATAATTTCTTACTAATCTGATAAGTGTCTGACTGTAAGTATTCAAACCTAGTACTGTGAGAGCTAGCTTTACTAACTGTGAAATGTATTCAGTTAATCATGATATAATTCTTAATTAATTGAGACCTCTTATCATTGATAATGTCCCGGATCTCAATATATATAATAATGACAGTGATGTATGCAATCACTTTACTCTACTATCTGCAGATCAACTGTTAACTAGACTGATCACTGAAATCATGAATTTCACATTTAATCTCATTTAATCTGATCTCATACATTTCTTGATATGAATTTCACTGAGACTAATTATTAAAAAAACATGCAAAGTGACTATATATCAGATCTTAAAATAGAATTATAACTTAGAAAAAATAAGAAAGTAATCTCATTTAATCTTATTTAGTTTCATTCTTGATATAAAGTTACTATTTCTAGACATTTTAAGGTTTTTTTTAGATTATTTTTAATTTTTAAAAAAGTAACACTTTTTGATAATACTCAAATGAGATTTAAAGTTATTTAAAGTAATAAAAATAATTTAAATTGAGAAGTGAAAATCATGATCTCATTTGAAAAATGTGATAAGAGTAGACAGTAAGTCTCACTGAGATAGTATGAGACTACTATTTAATCTTAAAACTGTGTAATGAGATCAATCAAATTGGTAATGAGATCATCAAATATTCTGGTCCTGGTCCCAGACACAGTCACACGGTCAGTCTAGGTGGGACTCACATCAAGAAATGTACAGAACCAGACCAAACAAGACAAAATGTGAAATTCATGGTCCTGCCGGCCAGTCTCCTTGTTGCTCAGGGGCAGTTGTTAGCTATCATACTTATGTAGGCCCTGCAACAAACTCTTATTCATAGCCCTATGTATTATTACTTTTTGCTTTTCTGTGTATTGGACACAGTATTCAATAATATATCTGGGGAAATAATACAGGGTACGATGGATGGATTGATGGCGTGCGGGGAGTGTATGGCTACAGGTATGGGCGTTTCGTTTCGTTTGCACGCGAACAATAATTTCCTCATGCATTTTATCTAAGCGTTCAACTTTCGAGTTGGTTGGGGAAATTGGGCTCAAATCTCTGGGCTGAGCGGAAGGGGTTTGTGAGTCCCGGTTTATTGGCGTTGGTGATTTTGCTGATTGCTGATGATAATGCCTGTCTGGATGTGGTGGTGGGAGTGCTTTCAGTGTCGAAGATGGATGAACATATCTATCGCCCACGAGAATGGATCCTAGATACCGGATTGCAATAACCTCACCTCACCTAGCGATTGAAGGTCCCCGTTCTGATAATGGAACTGCTAACTATAGCAGCAATCGATCCGGGCTAGAAGGAACATAATCCACTTATCGCTGGGTAGCTGTGTTGGGTAATGAATGAGTCTCTTTTCCATTTGCTTATCCGCTGTCGGTAGCAGATTCCATTAACTGGCTTGGTTGTGTGCACAGAAAGAACGTAGAGTGCGTGATAGATGTCCTGGGCGGCGGGGTTAAACGGCGTTGACGTACTAAGGGGAGCTAAGAGGGCATAGAGAGAGATATATATAGGCTTTGAAACGGGGATGGAAAGAACACTTTGGTGAAAGTGTTCTCGCATTCGCTAATCACGTATCAACCGCATCTCCACCTTCCTGTAGCTCCCAGGTATCGCCTCGAGAAGGCGCCAATTTCACCCTGACATTCGCCGCATCGCATAGTGCCTCATGTCACTCAGCCGAGTGAAACGACCCTTGTCCTCAACAGGCTTTGGTAGTTAATCCGTGGTACAACAACGCTAGCGAGGAGGGCTTCCATACTTCGACATTATTGTGTCGTTTCGTGCACAGCATGACCAGGGAAAGAAAGAGGATCCTCGTGAGCACAACTAGACCGGGTAGGGTAATCCAGGCCCATCGAACCAGGATGAACGGTTGCGCGACTCCAGTGAGGTCCGTCACCGTTTGGCTGCTGGGTTGGAGCAGGGAATATGTGAGTGAACGGGCAATGGTCTCCATCATATGCACCTTGTCATCGATGGCGCGTGATATTCCGATAAAGGTATTGGACGGGATGAAGTATTCCGTTGACACGTACATGTACCAGGTGGTTGCGTTGCCGACGAGATCGAGGATAAGATTCTTCTATAAAGAATGGCCACCATAACTATCTACGACGAAGGTGGTGGTCCCTATATACTTCATCCTAGGCAAAGATCATTCTAAAAGCAGACGCCTGCAATAATAGAGCAAATATAGCTTCGCCTCTTTATACACCGGTCTATTAATCTGTATTGATCTAAAATATGGGCTCTATGAGGTTTAGAAAATAAACGACATATGTATGTGTAACTCCGTGGTGAGGGCAGAGGGATTAGGGTTGGGAAGAAGATCGAGGCTTTGATCAATGCAGTGTCAGACCCAGTACTGACCCCAAACCTCCTTTGTATCAGGAGTTCCTTGGAATTTGAACTCGACGTGAGTGATGTCCTGAAAGCCTTCAGAGAGCGTTGGCTCTTGAAAACGGCGCTGGAAATCACCAAACGCGATTCCAGGCAGTGAGGAGCGCGATTCGGGATTTAACGATTCCTGTACATCGGGGGCAGATTTTTAGAACTTTCTGGTTATGGATGAGACGAGATGGAGAGAGTTTGGGTTACATACGATCTTAGGATTAGCTGCGCGCACCGCATCGTTGTGTTTGCAGATCTGTGGTGGGGTGGAGAGATATATGCACCGGATGGGAACGTTAACCTCCTTTGCAAGCTCGGTCCAGAACGCACGAGTTTCTGTGCCTGCATTTGTATTGTCTGGAAGAAGTGAAAAAAAAGGAGTGAGCGATACTTTGAAACGCTCCGCAAAATGAAGATTTGATAGGAAGTGAAGCGTACCGACAGCCACAGACTTCCCAGCCTGTAAATATTCTTTTGCAACTTTGAGGCATTTAGGGCGCTTCAAGCGTGGAATTAATAAAGGTAAGCATATTCCATATGAGTTAGAGGAGTAAACGCTATAAGCAAATGTGTGCGTGGGTGGGTGTGTAAGGCCATCGTCTTACGCTCTTCAAGGTGTCCTGGTTCACTCTCTCATAACCAAGGGGCTCTAAGTATTTCCAGTAGAAGGTTGATTTTCCCGATCCCGGGCTCCCACAAAATATGACAAGTTCGGTATCATTCCTTTTTGAGAAAGTTATATTTGCTATAATATCAACCTTTAGCATACGGGATCACTTCCATCTTCATATGATTCTCATGGTGTACTTACGTTCAGCTTCCGATGAGCCAACAATATATGCCTTTGGATCAAATGCTCTCGAAATTGGCTTTGGAGCCTCATTGAGGAAGAATTCTTCAGGTGTTTTGAACGGAATTCCGACGTTCGCTGCAAAATCTCTGTATAGAGTACATCAATATAAAGACACTGCAAAAAAGCCCCGCAAAGGGCAAATTGGTGGGGAGTTACATACCGATCCACACAGGAATGGTCACCCTCGCGTCCTGCCGCATCTCCAACAAATACGGATTGTTCAAGATCTAATGAGCCAGCAACGTCTAGATCATAGTCGTCAAGCATCTCACTCCACATTCCCATGCGCGGCTTTCTAAACTCATCATTCTCCGTGGCAGCATAAATGCTGGATGGCACGCCCAAGGTTTGCATGACTGCGGTAACCTTTTGTTTGAATATAGACAAGCTCTTGGACTCCAAACTGCCACCTTTCAAGTCCTTTTTCAAGCTTATGGCTTTCTGATTCGATATAACGACAACCAGATACCTATCCCATCGGTAAGAGACCTAGCAATTGACAGGGCAACTGTAACGACGATGGAAAGTCTCACGAACCCTTTATCGTTCAGTTCTTTTAACTTGCCAGGTACAGTCGGGCTCCACCATTTCCAATCATGCTGGTTTGTCGCAAATCGCCTCCCGGATTTAGTTGCGATCAGAGTTGAGTCCTATTCCCTTCTTAGATTCAAAATAGTTTCCTCCTTATAATTCCAAAACTTCTCAACGTACGAGGTCAAAGGCAGCAATATGTCGTTTCACGCCGGATTTAACCGCTTCCCGAGACAGCTCTTGGTGATATTTGCCAATAATGCAGCTGTTCCTCACGGTCCTCCATGTGACTTGCTCCGGTTTCTTTTGTGATAATGGGGTGAAGAAGTTGGCCGCAGCTTTGTTTTCAACATAGTACATAACGGTAGTCAGCTACTCTGCACCAATGCCTGGGGATGAGCACTCCTATAGAAAATATACATACAGGTCGCTGTTCCTATCGCTTTGCGTTTGATAGGGGGCGGCGAGATGTCCACCCCATCGGGGCTCTTTCGTTTGGTCCCATTCATAATGAATCGAAGAGTAGATATGAAGACGGGGCAGGGATTTATTTGGCTTTCAGACTGTAAGAGGGCGCACTGAATTGTCCGGAGATGCGTAAGGAGGGAGGGAGGAGCCATAAATAGGTTCGCCAGACAGCGATTGAACGATGGGCGAGATTTAGGCATCTTTGCACTACTGAAAGTCGCGACGACGCGAGGTTGCGTCGCCATGTCACGTGGTTTAAATTACTGTTAGAGGATAACTGTAACCTATCTAGGGTGAAACTATATATAAGTTGGGTGGCACGTGATTAGGGTAGATGTAGTAATCATCAACACCCCCCCTTATTATTATTATTATTATTATTATTCTTCCATTATACTCATATGCAAGCGGAGCTTATGATGAGTCCTTGCATGATGTTAAATACAGGTCAAGTGTTGGTTATACAGGAGGAAATACAGGTGTTGAGACCACGCCAAGATAACAAGAACATAGGAAAATACAAAGGAGTGACAATTAGATACATGCGATAATAACTTCCCAGCCCAGGAACATAGAGCAATTCATTGGAGCGATTTGTACACCTCTGTATTTATTAGGAACCTGAGGTGCTTGAGTTCCGGATTTAATGTATCCCCTGCGGGTTTCAAACCCACGCGCCTTGGTTTCCCACGCCAAGGTGCTACCGGGTGGCCGCATTAACCATTCGGCCACCGGGGCAACACCCCCCCTTATTATTATTTATTATTATTATTCTTCCATTATACTCCCCCTCTTACTACAACGCCCCACTAATTGCGTTGCCATCATTCCACTCATTCTATCTCAATTCTTCCAAAAACACAATAATAATTAATTACAACAATCAGACTCTGATTTCCTTATTAGGAAAAGTGTCTGTACAGTGATAACTGTAAATAGACTGGCCGCCGGGACCATGAATTTCATGTTTGATTTCATTTGGTCTGGTCTCATACATTTCTTGGCGTGAATCCCGCTGGGACTGGCTATTAAAAAAACATGTAAAGTGACTATATATCAGATCTTAAAATGAAATCATGACTTGAAAAAAATAAGAAAGTGATTCCATTTGATCTTATTTAGTCTCATTCTTAGTATAAAGTTACTATTTTTAGACATTTTAAGGTTTTTTTTAGACTATTTTTAATTTTTTAAAAAGTAATGCTTTTTAATAACACTTAAATGAGATTTAAAGTCATTTAAAGCAATAAAAATAGTTTAAATTGAGAAGTGAAAATCATGATCTCATTTGAAAAATATGATAAGAGTAGACAGTAAGTCTTACTAAAACAGTATAAAACTACTATCTAATGTTAAAACTGTGTATGAAATCAGTTAAATTAATAATAAGACTATCAAAAAATCTGGTCCTGATCTCAGACACAGTCACACGGTCAGTCTAACTGTAAAAATCAATAGATACACACAGAATTCATTAACACACTGTATCATTATTATCTTAGTCTTTCTTAATCTTCTTCAAATCAATCTTCTTAATAAATTCCTCAAATGCTGATCTTATTAATGACTTGATAAGATTATCAGCTATGTTAACTATAGAATTAATGTGTTTCATTATAATATATTCTTTTTTAATCAGATCTCAGAGAATATAATATCTTATTTTAATATAATATAATTAATGTAGTAGAGATTCTTCTTTTACTAGATTAATTACTGTAAAGAGTCTACACTGAATAGATCAGTATAATGTTAATAGGTCTCATATAACAAAGATAAAAATGTTAAAGAAGAAAAGAAAGAGAAAGTGTGAGAATCAGTAATTGAGATGAATATTTATACATGTATGTGATGATGTACACAGTGAAGCTTCAAGATGAAAGAATATGCGCGCGTTTGTAGCAGCTGTGAATCGGTGATCAGGAATGAAAGAATCTATAAAGTGTAATGAAATAGTCTATATAATTAATGAAAGAATATGCGCGTGTTTGTAGCGGCCGTGAATTGATGATTGAAAATGAAAGAATCTATGAAGTGTAATAAAATAGTCTATATAATTGATCAGGCGCAGCTCATCACATTAGCTTCTTCTTTTCAGAAGCAGTTCTCATTGATCAAGAGCTGCTGTTTCAGATAATACAGAACTCAGAGTTCAGATCAGTTAATCATAGCTGACTTATTTTATAAGATATTATCAGCTGCAGCTGTGAGATCTCTTATCAAGAATATCTTCAATCTCTCACTCAAGCTCATTATCTTCTTCTATAATGTCTGACAGCTGTCAGTCAGAAGTCAGCTGAGAAGAAAATGAATCAGTAATAGTATAGCAGAGCAAGCTTGTATAAAATATATTATGAATTTCTGATAATGTATTAAGACAGTAGTTGTGACTATCTAGAACTTCTATCACTTTATATCTGATAAAATGATAGTCTAGTATATGAGATGAATATATAGTTTATATATTCTTGAGATTCAATTATATAAGATCTTCTATCTTATACTGCTCTGTAGAATCTCATCAGATATTAATTTAATTTTCTTAATCTTGTTTCATAGTTACTATGAAGGTCTCTGCTCAGTCATAGATATCTCAGAGCTTTATTACTATATTATCAGTAATCTGAATCAGACTGCAGAGATTTGATATAAACTGTGTAATCTCTAGAAGATTCAACACTTTCATATAATATTTATATGTAAGAAAGAATGAGCTTATATCTGTTAAAATAATATCTTAACTGTTAATAGTAATCTCTGCATGTAGAAGAAGATTATATTAATTATCTTATAAGTAATTACAGAACTTATAAAGATAATTCTATACAGTCTGAATTATTTATTCTGATATATTATCAGTCTTAGAGTGATAGACAGTTGATAGATAGTATATAATCTTAAGAACTTGACAGATTCTTGTTTAGAGAGTACTTATAAATTAATGACTCTGATTCAATACTATCAATCTCAGTAACTTATATATTTAATAGAATGAACTCTATAAGAAGGCTTCAGTGACTTGTTCAGTATTCATTTTATTATAAGATTTCAATATTATATTCTTACTTAGTCAGTCAATAATAATTAGAATATTTCTGCAATTCTTACTCTTAGATAGATTAATAGTGAAGTTAATTACTACATCTTATCAGATTCTATTAAAGATATTAAGTAATTTCAGTAGATCTTTTCTACAGTTCTTTCATAAAATAATAGAAGAACAGTGATTATAGTTTCAGATAAAGTATCTGATACTATTTGATATCTCAGATCAGTAGAATTCTCAGAAGATTATTCTATACAGTTATTTATAATCTGAATAGCTGATTATATATAAATCATGTATCTCTTGCATTATCTGAGTGTGTAAGAGTTAAGAGTGAGAGACTCAGTATTGTTTACAGAATTATAGAGTGTTATTATTATTAATTAAGTATTCTGAGATATTAATTCTTATACATAGTTCTAAGAGAAATCAGAGTGCTTCTTAACATACTACTTTAGTGAGAATTTGAAGAAGTTCATTAGTCTGAGCTGCTGTATATCACAGTTTATTCAGTGTAGAAGAAGTGAAGATATCAATATCAGTTCTAATCAGAGAAGTATATATAATGCTGTAAGCTGTTTCATCTTAATCAACTAATATCTTCAAATTCAAGAGTCAGTGCTCTCAGTTCATTCAGTGAGTATCTGTTATATCAGATAACATATCTTACTCTCATTATAAGAGAGTATCTGTCATTGAGTTCTGACTGTCAGAATGATAGTATATTATAAAATGAAAGCAGCTTAGAAACTCAGATTATTATATCTATTATTCAGTAAGTTTACAGATAGTTATGAAGTATTTGAGATTCTTATAATTTATAACTATCTTAAATTCAGAGATACTTTAGAGTTCAGAGTCTCATTCTTCTAAACAGTATATAATTATAAGAAGTTTCTTATTATAGATCTCATAATTATATTCAGCAGAACTCAGTTTCTTAGACATGAAAATATATAATTATAGAACATCTTTATTATTATATTACAATATTGCTTCTTCTATTATATAGTCAGAGAAATCAGCTTTAATAACTGTTTTATAATCAGAATCAAATATTATTAGTAGAGAGATATTAATGAATATCTTCTTCATCTATATAAATACAGCTTCAGTATTCACTGATTATTAAAATACTGAGTCTTTCTTAGTAAGATCTGTAAGTGATCTCACAATATCTGAGAAGTTTCATATAAATTGCTGATAGAAGTTAGTAAATTCAATGAAGCTTTATACATCTTTCACAGTACACAGAGCTTCTCATTCAAGAATGATGAAGACTTTCTCAGAATGTATTCAAATTCTCTTATCAGCTTCTATAATAAAACTCAGATACTTGATACTCTTGACTTCAAAATTATACTTATTAATATCTATTAGTAGTTCTGCTTCTTGTAGTTATTATAATATCTTTCACACATACTCTTGATATTCTTTTCTGAATTCATTAGTGAAGATGAGAATGTCATTTAGATAAGTAGATATAAACTTATTAAGAAAATCTCAGAGTATTCAGTTGATATACTTCTGAAATATACTGAGAATATTAGTCAGTTCAAAGAGTGTAACTATTTATTTAAAGAGATTATAACATGTTCAGAATGCTGTAAGCTATTCATCTTCTTCAGTGATATAAATCTTATAAAATATAATAATGATATCTAGTTTTATAAATCATTAAGCTCATCTGATCTGTGCTAAAGTTTCATTAATAAGAGATAAGAAATATCAATCTTTCTTTATCAATCTGTTCAGATCTTGATAGTTCACACAGAATCAGAGTTCTTCATCTGGTTTCTTTACAAAGAGAATAGAGACTGTGATGAAAGAGTTACTAATATATATGAATTCTTTATTCAATAGATTATTGAGTGTCTTTTAAAGAAGAAGAAGTTCATCTTGAAATATGTTATAAAGAGAGTCTCATGATGATTCAGAGTTCTTATTATTCTTTTTCTCTAACTTAATACTGTGATTCATTTCAGAACCTTGTAAGAGAGATATATTTATAATATTATCTTGTTAAAAGACATCTAGATATTCATGATATTATTGAGAGAGTTTTATATAAGAATCTGTTATTATAATATAAGATAACTTTTCTAGAGTCTTTTTGATATCAGTCAGACTGATAAAATAGATTGATACATGATTCTGCTATCAGCAATTCTTTCAGTGACTTCTTTTTCTAAGCATTTC